GGATGAGAGCTCTGGTTAGAAGGTTAGAGATGGGTTCTCTGAATAGCTTTCAGTGGAAGTCTCGCGATTTCTTCCACTGTGGAAGAGGGAGCAAGGGTCTGCAGCGGGGGTGTGGTCCCATCAGCTGGCACAGCTCAAAGCTAGTAGCTACTCCCTCAATGTGTTAAATTTTAATCGTTTTGTTTTATTACTTGTTTGGATTTCAAATAAAGTTCACAAGATACTGGAGGCAGCTATGGTTGCATTACCCTATAAATTCATCCGAGAGAAGGAGAGCTTGTGAGCAAGATGGAGAGACAGTCGTGCGTTGCGGTTTAAGCTTTCCCTAGTCTATGCCTCTGGGAAGGAAACTAAAGCCATTACAAGGGAAAGAATGTAGAGAGCACTGGCAGCTTTTTAGTAAACAAAACTCTCTACTGAAACGCTGGGATGACTTAGTTAAGAGTGATTTGAGAAACCATCAACTACATTTCCTTGAAATCCGAAATAGCCTCCAAAATAACTGGAAGTGCTTCTGCCTCTGAGCCTGCGTGGGTGTTTACAAGCTGAAAGGGACTGAGTACCTTCAGAATGGCAGTGATGTCCTTACCTTCACAGGGTCTCTGTCTACACCCATGCCTTTCTTTGACAAGTGACCCCCCTCGACACACACACACACACACACACACACACACACACACACACACACACACACACCACACCATATATGGGACCCTGGCTGCTACCTTCTTTTCTTTTGCTGTTGGTAAGTAACCTACTACTGGTGATTGATTAGCCTACTGCAGATGCAGAATGAACTGTAGGGAAAAGTGTGTGATAACATCCTACAGAGCTAAATTATTAGGAACAGAGTACTGTGTGTGTGTGAATTTATTCATGTGTGCCTGTGTTTTTATGTGTGTGTATCTCTGTGTGGGTGTATGTATATGAGTCTCTTTCTATGTGTGTCTTTGTGTATCTGTATATATTTGTATATGTGTGTGTGTATTAATGTGTATATATATATATATGCACATGTGGTGTGCCTATGTTTTCTCTGTGTGTGTATCTCTGTGTGCATGTACATGTGTGAGTCTATCTATGTGTGTGTGAAAGAGTCTCTATATGTGTGCATGTGTGTGTGTAAGTCTCTGTCTGTCTGTGTATGTGTGGATTATATCTTACTGGGTCCTTGCACTCAGACAGTAGGAACCAGGTACATCTCTTTTCGATTCTGCCAATGATGTTTTCATGGCTGGTGTAGTGATTCCTGAATTTTATTTGTGGCTGTCTAAACACATTTTCTTTGTATTTTTCTGAAGGTAAGTCCTGCTTTAGCAATAACTATGAGTCACTGCGGAATACTGTCCCATTATCTATAAAATCACGGATTTGAAGTTGGGTTACGTGACAGAAAATTCCTCAAAAAGAAGCTGTGTGTGGCTGGAAGGAGCCTGTGTCTACAGGGACTGGTGGAGGAGCAATTGAACTTTCAGTGCTGTGGAGAGGTAGGGATCTTGTACTTCACAGGGTAATCGCAGCTTCTGGAGAGCTGTCCCTTGCCCTACTCCGCACTAACATCTCTAATAAAAAAGCTCTCAGAAGCTATTAAATCTACAGAACACTAGGAGTGTCATTACATAGCATCTTGGACTTACGGAACTGGTCCCCTAATCTCGGTGTGCCTGCCTCTCTGCTGAACCCACAATGCATTTTAGACTTGACTTGGTCCATGAATTTCTTTGTTTTATAAAAACTATACAAGCTTCACAAATCCGCCTCTGTGCTGTCACGTGGAATTTTGGGTAACTTGAATGTATGCTCCCAGGCCATGGTCACCGAAAATGGCTCCAGAATAAGTTGTTTCCCCATTCCCCTTGAGATGAGAGTTGTGGTTTGACAGTGACCAGGTAGAATCTTGCCTCGTTAGTGTCTTCGCCACCGAGTGCCCTCCACAACAGTCATAACTCAACTTTGCAGTCCTTAGTTTCTTCGCTGTGTAAGCTGAGTCTAACAACAGCTATTCTCAGAGGAGACCACATAGCACATTCGAGCAGCAACAGAGAAATAGCAAGCCTAAGCACGTCCCTTCTATTTTCTATGCTCAGGAGATTGTGTGACATATGTCCATGCCGTGCCCAAAGAGAAGAGGGTTCAATGCATGCTTATTGATTGTTTGGGCCTTGTACTAATCAATATATGCATATGAACTGGTTGATTGATAAATCAGAGAAATATTGGAACCAGAGACAACCACTATTTTCCTCCCTTTTACAGCATAGAAAATTCACATTCGAGTCTCAGCTGGCAATCCATATGTGTGAGAACCTGCAGCCTCATACACTCTTCTATGATTGAAGTAGACGGCTGCCCAAATCAATGGAAATTTCATTGTAAAATTGTTCAACAGAATTCACAATCACAGGAGTACAAACTCACCAGAGACACTAATGGAGGGTCTGAACTTGATATGTGCAAGAGACCTGTCAGACTCGGCAGCAGGCATTGTTCCACAGAGAAGGTGGGCCACAAAGGCCCCGACTATGGACGGACGAAAGGTAGCTCCCTCTCATCCAGGGGCATTGCCCCACCCACTCCCTCAAGAGTAAAGTAGACAGAGTGTACCACACTACGCTTGGCTTAGTAAGGAGACTATAGGTGTCGCCCACAGCACTCTGCACCCTGTCATACCCAGATGCTTCACCCCACTGGCTTCCCTCGGTGCTGGGACAGCAGTCTCTCCCAGCTCCCTCACACATCAAGGGCCCTCTTTTTTTAAAGATTCTCTGTGAACTCATTGTTCCATTCTGCAGCCCAATTCAACTTTCAGCTATTGCTGAGATTTCTACTTCCGTAAATGCACATATGACTTATATATGTATGTATGTCTGTATGTATATGTATACTCACATTCACCCCCCCACACACACACAAAGGAAACTTCTCCATTAATTACCAGTTTAACAGTTAGCATCCCTTCTGTGAAGAAGGCAGGTTCTATGATAACCACACATAGTACTGAAATTTATGCACCTGGCTTTCCTAGATATCCATGTGAGGTTTGCTTTACTTTATAAGCTAAAAGCAGCAAGTCATTAGATAATAAGAGAACAGTTACAGAAGCATGCTGTAATAAAACTTCATCTAACCTTAAGAACAATTTCTAGAATTTCTCACGGAATGTTTCCAGGCTGCGGTTGATTGCAGCTAACTAAAAACTTAGGAAGGGAAGCCATTCTAAAGGAGTAGCATGACATGAATACTACTCAGTTCCACTGGATACTTGTCACAAAACCAACATTCTGAAACAGCTAACTCTTCCTCATGTGGACTGAGATCAGAATATATTGAAAATATTCACTGCAACTGGCAGTTCTGAAATGAATAAGCTACAAAACTTTACATTTTTTTAAAAAATATACTTCTAAAATTTTTGTGTGTGTATGTCTGTGTGAGTAAATGGAACGTGTGTGTGTGTGTGTGTGTGTGTGTGTGTGTGTGCGTGTGTGTATGTGTTCAGTTGCCCATGTCACATGTGTGGATGCCTTTGGTGGCTCAGGAAAGGGTGGAGCTGGAGTTACAGGTGTCTGTGGCTGTTGCAGTAGAACTCAGGTCCTCTGCAAGCACACCTCTGAGTCATGTTTCCAGAGCGAAAATTTACTGTGGAATACTGTGATTTGAGGGTTTTTATAGCTATTACTTCACGTCATTATTTTTAGTCTGATCGATAGTTTAAATTATTATGGTGTGTAAGAAGAGAACAAAAATGCTCTGTCTAAATCGGTCTCATGAACAGTTGGTTATTGACTACACGAGTCATTAAGCTTGGTACACTGGGTAAGCAGGGAAACTGGGTAACGCCAAGAAATCGACACTGGTAGAAACCTTCCTGAAATAATTTCTTCAGTCTGTCCTGTGCAGGTGACATCAGTGTGATGTTCTGTCTGTGTCCAGCTCACAGCCATTTGATGATTCTGCGAGAGGACAGCTTGCTAAACACCCCTTGCAAATACATGGGCTCACTAAAGGTTGGACTTACAGGGGAGTGAAGCATCCACTCCCAAGTCCTCCCACTCAGATTTCTTAATGTTTATGGCTCTAGATGATTTTTTTTGATGGAGCAAAAGAGAATGCATTTGAGTGAATTTCCTGAGATTTTTGCTTCTCCCCATAATTAGTGCAAACTGGCTCTATCTTTACACTATCTCTGGATTCCTGGATTAATTTTGTAGTGAGTAAGGTTTTTATAGTAATGATAAGAAAAACATAAAGGAAATTCTTTCTTCTTTTCTCAAAAAGAGACGTAAATTTGAGGACCTATTGAGTGGCATTCTTAGGGAACATGGCTCAAATGTATTCCATTGATATGACATAGGACTCTATTTATGTTTCTGTTCACACTTGGTTTGGGGATTGTGATAATTTTCATAAATAACTATTTAATAGGGAGGTGGAAAGTATCATTTATTACTTTAATGGGCCTGATCATCTGGCACATATTGGTGGACTACTAAAGCAATGAGACTTGGAAAACAATGACCAGGACTCTAGACAGATCTTTAGCCAGTGGCCCTGCAATTATAAGACACTTTCTCTCAGGAGACATGATATGATGTGTAATTTAGCAGGGACAATGGAAAACAACCCTTGAGTACTTGTAAAGTTAACCAAATACTGTCGCAACAGTCGGTTTACAATATAACGCTGTGAAAAGTTAAGACAAGATGCGGGTATGTTCCCTTGACTTTATCTGAGCCATGAACAGCACAGCCTTGGTGGTTGCTGTGGCTTGTCCTGTCTCTCTTTGACTGTGTTAGCTATCCAGCCTGTGCTCTCCCACCGTCAAACCTCAAATCTGTCTCCTCTCACTCTAGCCTCTGGTTCAGTACCAGTCCTCCAAGAGTCTTTGATTTAGAGCTTATAGAAATGATTCCTATGTCTCTATGGTTCTCACCTTATCACTCTTTGAATTCACTGGTAATTCAAATTATATGATATTTTTTGCCTCATTGTCTGACTTCTTATTTACAACTATGCTGTACAGAAATGGAGGTTTTTGTCCGCCGTCTTTGCCCTGCCAACCCATCACTCAGAGCAGAGTCTGGGGTATAATTTGCGTTTAATGAATGTTTCTTCATATACTGTATAAGAGGGCAGATTACAGAACAGACTTGCATCTCTCTGTTCAGTGTGTAGGAAGCAATCTTCCGAGTATTCTGTGTGGAAAATTTAATTAAGCACTGTAATGAGCCTACAGTTATATTTCAGGGGAGGAACCCAGAACCTCGCATGTGTAAGGCAATACTCAACCACTGAGCTATATCCCAATCCATCTACTACTGTTTCACAAATAAAGAAAGTAGGTCACAGGACTCAGTTACTTCCTCAAAGTTAGAAGAGAAAGTTGTGACAGCTGAGCTGCCTGAATCCAAAGCATTTGGTCTTACAATCACTGCACAACACCTCATTCATCCAGGCATCTTAATATTAACTGGTGTTTGAGAAGATTGTTACATAAGGAGATGATTTCAGTATGTAATCACAACATTTATATAGCTAAATTTTCCTGTCAGAGTATATGAGTATGTCCAGTAGTTATATAAAAAGTAAAACAGCCCCTAGGATCTGAAAAGCAACTGGAGGGGGCAATTAGGAAAGACAGGCAATGCTTTTTCTTCTCAGGCGAGGGAGGTAAGACTCACCTCTGGATGGCCAGCTATCGCAGCAATGTGGAGGGCCGTGAGGCCACCATACCCGACCTGTTGAACATCGGCTCCGCTGTGTAGCAGGGAAGTGATCAGTTCTGCGCTGTCCTGTAATGAGACACAACTTGAGTGTGTTTCCCACTAAGTAGGTGGGGGAGCTGTGCACAAGGTGTTGTTGACTCTTTGGTTGGGTGAGGCGTAGATGCTCAAAGAATGCCTGAATGTGACTTCTGGCCAAAGCTTGTATTAACAAGCAGAACGGCTCAGGCGGTTGTGACTGTGACGTAGGGACAAATGCACAACAGGGTATCAGCAATCCCCCCTTGCCGCATGAGTATGAATGGCGGGAAGAGTACTGGCCTAGCGCAAAGCTCTGGCAACAATATATATATATATATATATATATATATATATATATATATATATATATTTATTATTTTACATATTGATCCCAGTTCCCTCTCCCTCCTTCCCTCCCTTTTACCCTCTCTGCCCTCTCACATGCACTCTAACCACCCTCCCCTCCCATTCCCCCACCCCAATTCCATGTGTAGGGGAATGCCATCCAGTTGGGGTCATGTAGATCTGACAGGTCATGTGAAGTAGGGACTAGGGCTTCTCTCCTGTCTCTAGGTTAAGGCAGTTATCCCTCCATGGGGGATATGTTTGCAAAGTCCTTTTGTGCACCAGGGATACATCCTGGCTCCACTGCCTGAGGTCCCTTAGACTGCTCAGTCCTTCTGGCTGAGACCCATATTCAGGGGGCCTGAATCAGTCCCATGCTGGCTTCCCAGCTATCAATCTGGGGGCCCTTTAGCTCCTCCTTGTTCAGGTCAGCTGTCTCTATGTGTTTTTGCAACCCGGTCTTGTCCTCTCTGTCTGCATCTGGGTTCTAGTTCTATCAGTGTTTAGTTATGGGTATTTGCTTCTGTTTCCAACAGGTAATAGACGAGGGCTCCATGGATAACTTAGTTGTTGATCTCACTATCCAGGAAAGGCATTTATGGTACCATTTCTACCCATGCTCAAATTGTTAGTTGGCGGCAGTCTTGTAGGTCTCTAGACTTTTCTTTGGGTTCAGAAAGTTAAAGATCATGGAGAGTGGTATGAACTGTTTTCTAGTTTGCTTTCTGTTGTCTCAACCAATGTAACTAAGAGGAGAGGGCTTCATTTTACTTTTCCACGTCATAGTGTATCTTTGAATGAAGTTACAAAGGAAGTCATGGCTGGAACCTAGAAACAGGAACGACAAAGGGACACTGCCCCTTGGCTTGCTTGGCTTGCTTTCTTTTACAGCACAGCCCAACTGCCTAGGGATGGAGTTGCTCACAATCTGCTAGGCCTTCCCACATCAAACATCAAGTCAATGTCTCAGACATGGCAGCAGGCTACTCTGATGGAAACAATTTTCCAGTGGTGTTTACCTCCTCCCAAAGGACAGTAAGCTTTGCTAACAACAAAAGCTGACTGCTTCATCTAGAAACAAGGAAATAAATACATGTTGGAGAACCCTGCACTTAAGGTCCCAATCCACCATGTCTGGACAGCTCTCAGAGCTTGTCAGGAAATCCCTTTTCCAGCCAGGCTCCCTCCCTTCCTAGATAGTGTCTCTAGGCCCTGAGACATGACCTTATCTAGAAGCTGTCCCTAATCCCAGACACCTGATCTCAAGTCTGACCTTTGACACAGATCCCTGTAGACACTCACTACCCCTCACCCAATAGATAATTAGGTTTTGTGCTCCCAGCTGTTTAGTAGGACCACGCTGCCAAACATGAGGTGATTCCAGCTGCTGTTCACATGCTAGGTGTCTCCCCTCATTCTGTTGTAACCTGGAAACTATTTCCACTATACTCACAGACCTTACAAAGCCCCACATGTCACATATGTCCCCTTTCTCCTTTTAGCCTGGTGGTCAGTAAACCACACGGAAAGGAGAGACCTAAAAATGGACAAAATCAAACAAACCAACCCTGTCTTTCTCTGCTCAGACGACACCATGACTTTCTTGGGTCACAGCAATTTCCTCTCAACCCTTGCCTTTATTTTCCCGATCTTCTGGGATGTGTTACAGTGCTGAGGAGGACCAGTTAGCACTTGCAGTGGGTAGGTCTACTCCACACACAGCCCCCAGGAGCTACTACAGATCTCTCTGAGCAGGTCTGCCTCAATCTTGCTTCTGCCTCTAACTCAGGAAGGTGCCACCTCGAGTCATTTCCTTGCAGGTTTCAATCCTTAGACACGGCTTCTCAGTCATCCCTGTGGGCATTCCAAATCACAAAGAGAGCTGCTTTCCTATAAGGTTAGAGGGAGCCAGGGATGGGATTTGAACTTAGGTCTACTAACTCCAAATGATGCACTCTTCTGAACACGCCAAGCTACCTCCAGTCCTAGACTGCAAAGTCCTTTAATTTCATGGTCAAACCTTTGTCTTGAACTTTTCACTATGACACACGGGGAAGGCGTGTAACACGTGTCACTTATCGTGATGCAATGCAGTGGGAATCACATGCAAAGCAGAACAGGGAAAGAACAGGGGAATGCTCCACGTTAGTTCCCATCATGGTTTGCCTTATTATCTAACATTCATTCATTTATTCATGTGTCTTATCACTGAAAGCACAGACTGGAGTTTGGGAGCCCCAACCTGGAATAAGTATAGAGATGAACCAGGGATTCATATTATGGACATGTCAGAGTTTATTGGAGACTCAGCTAATTCAGGCTTGGGAGCAAAGGTGTTCTAGGAAACAGGGCTGTCTGATGTAAGAGCTAAAGGAAGGGAATATTTGTATATCAGTGATCACTCCAATTTGTGAAAGTAAATATTTACTTAAAATGAGGGCTCATTATTAAACATTGCTTTAAAAAGTCATTATTACTTAGAAATTTCAGTTAAGTACATAAAAAAATGGGGTTTTGTCTCTTAGACTTTTTCCCTCTTCTTCTTCAGAGAATTTCTTATTACTTTCTTGACAGACCCCCATTTGGGAAAAAATGCAATCCCTATTCAAATCATTTGTACAAATGCAAAGACAACTTGTATTATAAAATCAATTTTAGTTAATGAATCTTTTAATCTCCCCTCTAAATCATTGGTACTTAATTGTCACCTTGGGATTGTGTTGTCTTTTTGGTTGTCAAAACTCGTAATGAGGGCAGTGGCTAGGGCCATGTTTTGAAAAGGAGATAGAAATGCCCCCAGAATGCTTTACCATGATCAGAATACACCCTTACCACAGGCTCATTCAATCAGTGATGCTAATAGTGAAGGCATCTCCAGTATGAGAAGAGCCTTTGGAAGCTGTGGGATAGTTGCTCTGGGTTCTGTATCGTGTGACAGCCGAAACAAAACTCTCTTAATAAAATAAGTGTGCTAAGCAGGAAGAGTAGATCAGTGCAATGAGTGTACCAGCTGGACACCCGCCGTGCAAGCCTCCTAGGCCTCTGTCTCAGTGTTCTCTGAGAGGTCTGGCGTTGTAGGGAAAAGCCCGTGTCCTCCTACCACTTCCTTCCCATCTGTAATAAATACGTGAAACGATTTAGGGTGAGGTCTTGGTAGAAATGTGCAGAATGCAATACAAACCAAAGTCTTTCAGTATCAGCATTTAAGTCATTAAGTGCTGAAAAAAAAGTCTTGGGTTAAAAATTGCTACTTTTGAAACACCAGAGAACTGCCATGAAACCAGGTTTTCCTGTGCATTGCACCTGAGACAGGTTTGGGGCTAATTCAGATGGTCTAATTCAGTCTTTTGTTCATTTGAGATCCCACTCAGCCTCTTCCAAAGCATATCAAGGTTCAACATTTTCTCTCCAATAGCTGTATTTCATTTTAGGGGTGCATAGTATCAAAATGTAAACACTGGATATTCAGAGCCCTAGAGAACGGTTCTGAGAAGAAACTTCACTCTCCCCTTAGAGCTTTAGGAGAGGGAGACACATCTGTGCTGCAGCTGGGTGAGTCAATTCAATGAATTTAAACACGAAACAATAAAGTTGCAAGAAATCAAACCTCACAAAAGGGAAAATGGCTGAAAAAGATTCCTGTGAAGGGAATATGTATCCCATGCTGATAACCTAAGCAGCACAGAGACATGGCAGAAGTTGGGTTGGCTTTGTTCCCATTGCTTTGTGAGACAGGGCCTGTCTCCCTGACCACACTCCTGGCTCCCAGTAGAGTGAGCGACAAAGATAAATTTGTTGCTGCTCTCATGAAATGACTTCTTTCTTTGTCTTATTCTGAGTTGTTCTGAGAACCAAATTTGCAATCAAGCCATACCTGAAGTAAACTGGTCAAAATATTTGCATAAGGGCTTGTTTCCACAGAGACTGTTTTGTCTGTCATTAACCGATTGTTCTGTTCAATTTGTATGTGAACAGATACATGCACAAGGGAATGCTACTTTTACAGAACATGAGAAGAAATCTTTTAAGTATGGGCTGAGAACTGTGATGCAATTCCATACCTTTTAACTTACAAACCATATGACAAGACCCATTTCTTTTTATTTTCTATGTGAAATGGATAATACAATGTCTAGTAATTGTTTCTTGAGATCAAATTACACAGAAACAGTTAATTTAGTTACCATTTTTCACGTAGTAGTTATTTTGCTAGGACTGAATATGCTTTGTCCTTTTTAAAACCCCAAGTCACCTAATGAAACAGATAATTACGTTGAATCCAGTAGTTCTCTTCTTCAGGGAGAGAGGAGATATTGGGAGTAAGTCTGAGCACACTGTCTATGCTCGGCAGGCGAGCCCTCTATCAGTGAGCTCTACCTGCCGCCCTACTGCGGTGTCCACTCTGCTTTGGGGACGAGAAAACTGAAGGGCACAGGGAAAGAAAGACCAGCTTTTCTGAAGATGCAGCGATAAGGGAGTCAGCAAGTCTTCAAGCTGATGGATGACACAACTAGTTTAGGCGCTTGGCTGCGAACACTGTTAAAGCTGCGCCGTGCCAAGGAGCACCAAAGACTGCATGTGGTAACACCAAGACCCTTTTCAGGTCCTGGACACCATTCATCGAGCACCCAGGTTCTCTATGGGGAAGAATCAAAGGAAAATCCTCAGTCCTGATGTTGAGAGCTCACAGAGCAGTGTGCAGACGGCGCAAACAACCCAGGATCTGTGAGTGCTAGCATGAAAGGTAATAGAAAGTTTAAGCCGGAATCCAACATTAAGTGCAGTTTGTGCTCATTTTAAGTAACTCATAATGGATCAACGAGGAAAGAACTGAAAGATATTTCAGCTGGAAAATTACAAGCAGAATCAGAGGGATATGTGAGTGTTCAGCTTAAAGGGGAAGCAGTGTAAAGCAATGATCACCAAACTTTAGCCTGAAAGGCCTGTGGTGGTTAATTTAATGTTTAAAGTTGACCGAGTTCACTGCAGGCTGGAATCAGCTAATGTGGACAAGGGGATCTCGTGTGAGCGTCTTTGCTTGATTTTATGTATGTAAACTCCCCAGCTTTCTGTGGATGCTGCGGAGGGAGGCTGTCTGCATTGTATCGTCAGAGCCAACCTCCCCACCTTCTCTGAAGAAGTTATAGTGGTTGGATGCTCTCCTCACTGACAGGCGGTGAAACAAAGCATAGAGAAAAACTAAAATGGGAGTTCCGTTTCGGCAGAGTTGGGAAAATGCAGTCAGTAATGTCCCTGGCCCTGAAGTATTCATCTTCTTTCTGATCCTTGTTACCTCCTTCATTGTCTCTTCCCTGCCGTTCGGGAAAGGAAAATGTTTAGAAGAATGAATAGCAGACATTACAAAGAACTCAGCACCTAGATGCCCCTTCTCCTGAAATGAGCAGACATTGACTGGCGTTGCAGCGATCAGCTTAAAGGTGTCTGCGGGATGAGGTATGGGGAATAAAATTTCAATCATGAGAGATGACAAGTTTTGATTGTGGACTCCATAACAATGTAGAAGTCACCTGGATATAAAGTCCCAAGCAGAACCTTTTAGACCATGCTGTCCTTTGAGAGTGTCTTCGGGGAATTATCCTGACCATGGTAACTGGAGTTGGAAGGCATGTCCACTGTGGGTGTCACCATCCCGTTGGCAGGGTTACTAGACTACAGATGACTGGGAAAAGCAAGCTGAGCTCAAGCATGTCCGCTGTTCTTGACTGTGGATGCACTGTAACGAGCCTTCCTAGCTACCGCCACTTGACTTCCTGTAATGGAGAACTCTACCTTTAAATTATGAGCCAAACAAACTCGCCCTGGAGTTGCTTTTGTCCTAATATTTAATCACAGCATTAAGCTCTACTACAGAGCTATGGTCCTGAAAACAGCCTGGTATTGGCACAAAAATAGACAGGTAGACCAATGGAATCAAATTGAAAATCCTGATATTAACCCACACACCCAGGGACACCTGATTTTTGACAAAACAGCTAAAATTTACAATGGAGCGATGACAGCATCTTCAACAAATGGTGCTGGCACAATTGGATGAGGGTGTGTAGAAGACTGCAGATAGACCCATGTCTATCACCACGCACAAAACTCAAGTCCAAATGGATAAAAGACCTCAACATCAATCCAGCCACACTGAACATCCTGGAAGAGAAAGTGGGAGGTACTGTTGAACAAATTGGTGCAGGAGACTGCTTCCTGAACATAACTCCAGGGGCACAGACACTGAGAGTAACAATTAATAAATGGGACCTCTTCAAACTTAGAAGCTTCTGTAAGGCAAAGGACACAGTGGACAAGACCAAACGGCAGCCCACAGACTGGGAAAAGATCTTCACTAATCCTACATCTGACAAAGGGCTAAACTCCAAAATATACAAAGAACTCAAGAAGCCAGTCACCAAAACACCAAATAACCCTATTTAAAAAAATAGGGTACAGAACTGAAGAAAGAATTCTCAATAGAAATCAAAAAGGCTGAAAGACACTTAAGAAAGTGCTCAACATCCTTAGCAAATCAAACCAACTTCGAGGTACCATCTTAATCCTGCCAAAATGGCTAAAATTAGAAACACCAACGACAACTTATGCTGGAGAGGATGTGGAGAAAGGGGAACACTCCTCCACTGCTGGTGGGAGTGAAAACTCGTACAGTCATTTTGGAGATCAGTATGGCGGTTCCTCAGGAAAATGGGAATCAGTCAACCACAGGACCTGGTAATTCCTCTCTTAGGCATATACCTAAACGATCCACATTCATGCAACAAAGACATGTGCTCAATTATGTTCATAGCAGCATTAATTGTAATAGCAAGAACCTGGAAGCAACCTAGATGCCCCTCAGCTGAAGAATGGATAAAAAAGACGTGGCACATCTACACGATGGAATAGTCCTCTGCAGAAAAGAACAACGGAATCTTGAAATTTGCAGGCAAGTGGATGGCACTTGAAGAAACATTCCTAAATGAGGTAACCCAGTCACAAAAAGAGGAACATAGTATGTACTCACTCATATATGGATAGAGCAAAGGATCACCAGAAAAAAGAAAATAATACAGTGGGAAAATGTGGCTGTCTTTCCCCATGATGTTTAGGGAGTGCAGAGCCATCTTTGCATAAGCAAATAACTAGTTCTTCTGAGACCAGAACACAAAAACTGAAATAAAAGTCTGTTATAAGCCAGCATGAAATCGAGAAATAGTAAATATTCAACACAGCGGTGGGGATCTGCGGCGGGGGTCAACCGTGGTAGATTATCATCACTGTCCTATGATTAGCTAGGTATAGTGAGATATCCACCCCGCCCACACTTGTTGCACTGACCATGCCCACTGGGGTGTGGGGACAGGTGTGGATATCACCTGTGTGGGCTAGGTCTGGGGTCCAAGACCCCAGCTCACTCTCTTACTTCCTGGTTGGAGATAGAGCCAGGGTGGGGGGCGGCGTTGGGAGCGGTGGGCATCCTTGGAGTGGCAAACTGCAGCAGTCATCTGTTTCTGGTGTAAGTGATTCTCCCAGAATTAACATCCACTCGTGTATTTTGTGTCCCAGATTCTTATTTCCATGCAATATTCTGGTGTCAGAAGAGGGATATTCACAGGACCTGGGAATTAGGTTTCACCCAGATGGCGGGGTATGGAGCACTCTGATCTTCATTTTTTTCCCCCCTCTGCACCTTATGAGATTCTCTACTGACTAATGAGATAATGCATGTTCAGCATCTCAAATTAGAAGGGTAGTGAGTAAAAAATCACTAAGACTAGAGTGACTTACACATTATATAAATGTGCGATTTTGACAGTCTTGAGGGTCACTTCAAAGATCAAATATCCCAAGGTGCCCATCTGACTTTACACCAGTCCTGCCTCACGCTGTCCTGAACAGAGAATGTATAGGAATGAAAGCGGCAGACCTTGTAAACTGCCAAGTGCAGCGCTGGAAACCCGTTTCTTGTCAGCCTGGATGGACGGAGCCCTTTTAACATAAGGGCACGGATATGTGACTTGTTGCCTGGAGAGAAATAATAAAGGCTGATTTACTTACTGCAGGGGCAGACAAAAGGACTTCACCATCTCCCCTTGACTTAAGGATAAATGCCGTTCTGACATGTGAAAATGTCAGCCCATTCCCATGCAGTTCTGCTCACGGGCAGGATTCCTTCACAAACGTTTGCAGCTTTGCATGGACGCCATGCATTGTGGTAGATGTGGCCCACAGGCTTTGTGTGATTCAAGTGCGTTAAAGTTCAGAATGAAACTGGCATGGTGGCTCATGTGTCTTGTCTCAGTGACTGGGAATTTGAGATGGGAAGATTGCTAGCCTGGACCACAGAATAGAAGTTACCTCAAAAATGCCAAATAAAATTAGGCAGAAGGCCATGCAGTTACAAGTGAAACCATCTGACAAACTGCTTGTAGAGAGCTGAGGTGAGACTCTAGGGACACGGGGTCCTGCAGAGGTTCAGCAGCAGCAGTAGCAGCTACTCGGGCTCCGGAGCCAGCTGCCATTAGGAAGGGGAGATAGGAAGGTGAGTGTGTTCCAGGGGTTTGGAAAAGTTAAGGAACATCAGGCCACTGGTAACTCCATTCCTGTAGCCAAACAGCTCTGCTCTGCTTGATGAATGTAAATAGCAACTTCCATTTGACAATTCAGTAACTTTATCAAGCTGCTAGTGTATGCCGAGCCCCAACCTATGTGGTTGGGATCCTTTAAAAATGCAATGACATACAAGGGAAGTAAGACTCTAGTTCATCGCTTTGAGCAGTCTCTCCTGTCGGATTCTGTGTTTAGTATTTCTTCCTCTTTACACGCACACTGTTTCTTACAGTGAAGCAACTACCTGGTCATGGTCCTATGCTAAGGAGTGCTTGAAGGGTTCCTCAATTAAACCCAATCCCTGACTGGCTGCCCAGAATAAAAAGCTCTGTTGTTTTCCAGGCAAAGTGAGTTCCTTAGTTAAGGAAGGAATACACACACACACACACACACACACACACACACACACACACACACATAAATGTATATATATATAAATCAGAGGTGCCTCTAGAGCAAGGATCTGCATGGGTCACCATTTCTGGAATGTCAGCCAGTTCCTGGGAGTGAAGCCAAGGAGAAAGCATGTCAGATATGGCCCTCTGGCTGGCCTCATGTCCCCTACCATGTAGGCATAGATGTGGCTTTAACAGGTTCCAGGCACTTACCCCCACAAACGCAGCACAGGTGCAGCAGAGACAGCCCACTCTCTGTGCGGTAGTTTAAGTTGACTTCTCTGAAGACTTCATCAGAGCTGAAAAAACATGGGGCAGGCCGTCAGGAACTCACCTCTTAGTGTACTGTGTTCTGCATGAAACGTGGGAGTTGGTCTATAAGTTCAGAACTGTTCTGTGCTATATATAACTTAGCCACTGCTGGGAGAATGCTGAATCCTCCCTATGAAGAACTAAAAGTTGGTGAAAATAATAGTAATGGTTGAAGGGCTCGAGTTAAGGGAAAGACTCACCTACACACTCTGTGTCCAAGTATGTCAATATAATTATATAAATACATAATTTAATTCTGTCAAGCCCCTTATAAAGAAAATACAGACATCTAAAAGTAAAATTGATTCTTTCGCAACTCAAACATTCACATTATATTTGTAGGCAAATTTAGGATGTTCACGAAAGGAAGAAAGAAGGAAGGAAATGGAGAGGTTGGGGAGGGAGAGAGATAGGGTTGTACCATGGTTGAAAGAGGGTGTGGGAAAGATTACAACCTAGATCTATGACACTTCCCGTCTGCAGCCAACTTTCCTTGTACTCTGACTGGGTCAGCTTCTTTAGATCAGGGAGGTCTGATGCCTGGAGAGGGACTGTGATATGGTGGCTGGTGAAGACAGGAGAGATGAGGTAATGAATTCTTTGCCTTTGTACTATCAAAGACTTTGCCCCCAAGAGGGTCCCGGGAACCCCAGGTAGCCTTTCAACAGGAAGTTAGAGCTAAAAATCTTGACCTCTTCAGGTCCTTGGCACTCCCTGGACATTTTTCAGCAGAAATGAGGTCGTGTCCTTGGCCTCTGGGCCAGCTTCAAGAGGCCAGGTCCTATTTTAATCTTAGCAGCTCTTGAGGGTTGCCTGGTCTCCATCCCGTGGGGGAGCCAGGGATTTCATCACCTCTAAAGCACTTACACTTGAAAGACTTCATAAACTTGGGCCATTTGCATCGAGGCTCCCAGTTAAGAACTTCAAACGCTATTGGAATTTTGAAATAGAAAAAAAGAAATTCTGTTCTCCAGGGTGCTGCTAAAAAGAGAATGCCTGTAAATCCAGGGACCTTGAGAAGCTCCAAGAAAGGCTTTAATGAGCAACTGTAAGCCCTGTGGTCTGTTTTCTTAGACGTTGGAGATAATCTTCCAATGAATAAAGCAGGCTCGCTGCCCACACTAGAAATGCATTCAGGTCACATGACCTTGTCCTTGCCCAGAGGGAGCATGATATGGTTTGTTCCCAGCTAAGTCTAGTGGCTACAGCCTAAAGGCCCAGGGCACAGTCCAAAGCGAAAGTCAGGTGGCAGCTTTCACATTCTCAAAACAAATCAAACGTAATAGATCAGATCACTTAATGAAACATTTCAGCTTTACTCTTTAAATGTTGTGTTTTGTGTGTGGGCACCTGCACATGACTGCTGAGCAGGTCTCGAATCCCTGGAGCTGTAATTACAGGTGGCTGTAGATGGGTCTTCAGGAAAAGCAGTGTATGCTAAGCCATCTCTCCAGCACTATAAATCGTTTCATTTAGTCAAGACCTGTGTGGGGATAGAGGACACAAAAATGTGGGCAAATCCCTGACACAGATACCAGCCATATCTGATGATATTCTGAGCCTTTGGGTTGGTGAAAGCTACTGACCTATTGAATATATTCTAATAGTCTAAAGGTTCTACTTGTAATTAAGAGGACATTAGGTCAAACAGAGAAGGAGAAGGTAGACACTAAGTGACTTGTAAGGGGACTATTTATAGCAATTGGCAATATTCCAACGCTCCACAAATAGAGACATTTTAACCAGTCAGATGTCACTGAAGGGTCCCCAGGGAAGGCGTGGCTTTTTCTTTTCTGTTTATTACAGCTCTCAGTAGCTGTGAAATACCCGCTTTTTTAAGGACATGCATTTTACAACTTTGTAAACATCAAGAGCTAGCTGGTGCTGCCATTGTTATTATTTCTTTCAAAAGTTACAGATTACCTCTCTACTGTATATGAATATGTGGGTACCTGTGTGGGACAGCGCCTGAGTGGCAATGTAGGTGTTAGGTAGCATAGGCAGAGAAAACATACACGTTATCTTCGAAGGGGATAAGGTGGTTTATTGGAGCCAAGTGTGAACGAATGTGGCCTGGAAACAGAGATTCAGGTTACCTCAAAGTTCCACGCTACAGCGGGATAGCACGTTGATAGAGTATTTGTAGTAACATACGCAAATCCCAACCCAAGGCCGTTATCAAATGCATTGGTGGAAACATCAGCTGGGGAAATTACAAGAGTGGGTGGGCGTGCTACAGCATCAGGAGTGGGCTGGGGGATCCCTCAAATGATATCTGATGGCATTCTACCCCTTCCCTTGATTGAAAAGTAGAGGGTTTACCAAAAGTTCATGAAGATCTTTGTTCACATATGAAGTGGCTGTTTATCTATCGATCATCTATCTATCTATCTATCATCTATCTATCTATCCATCTACCTATCTATCTATCTATCATCTATCTATCTATCTACCTATCTATCTATCTATCATCTATCATCTATCTATCTACCTACTTATCTATCTATCTATCTATCTATCTATCTACTTATCTATCTATCTATCTATCTATCAATCATCTATCTATCTATCTATCTATCATCTATCTATTTTAGGTACCTGAACTTGCCACACAATTATTTAACTGTGGACTTGCAACACTCCATCCAACCTGTTCACTTCACTGAGGATCTAACCAGCAAAGTTTCAGAGTGGTATGTGATTTTCACACACTTTTGTACACAGAGGTATGAAACCAGAATGTCAGGCTTGGTAGCAAGTGCTGATAGCCTTCAGCCACGCTGCCAGGCCCATGGCTGTATAATCTTTACAATACACATTGAAAGTCAACATTTACCAGGCACTCCAAAGCTGAGTTTTCATTCAGAATTCATGCGTGAGTTAAGTTCATGTGGTGAGGTCATAAGAAACCCCTCCACCCTTGCAGCTCTTGGAATAAAGGTCATTTATGTAGTTCTGTATGTTAACAACGCCCCCCCCCCCCACAAACACACTACCCAACACCACTTTTCCTGTCCCGTGACATCATTTCCTGGATTAGTGAAACCCAAGAAAGAAGTTTCCATGCAGCCCAGAGCCTCAGGATCTCTACCGTAAGGGTCTTCCTTGGCAGACCTCCTTCCATTTGGACAGAGCTTCTGCATGTATTCTGAGGACAGAAAAATCCAGTCTCCCTCATTTGCAGAGCTAGTATATGCGTGATTAAAGTCACGGGCAGTGTGCGACCTGAAATTCTGAGGGAAAAGGCACAGCTCCGTTGTAAGAAACACTGCTACAGCCCGTGAGTGGTGGGACTTAGCAACTGGGGAGAGAGGGACTTGGCCATGGTGTGCTATCTTCAGCCACCTTAGTGGCACTCAGTGCTGCCCTCTGTGTGTCAAGTAGAACCCAGATACCACGCACTGTTTAGAAGCCAGCCCCAAGAAGAAGGTGTTAACTTCATGTCATTTCTCAAAACAGTGTGTGTGTTTGCGGTTCTTCCTTCTCTTGAGACTTTTAACCGTCTTCACTTCACTTGCTTTGGATCCTGGTTGGATGCTTTTGTCAGCTTGACACAAGCAGCGTTATCCGCAAAGAGCAATCTCTGCTGAGACTTGCTTCTGTCAGATGGCCAACTTTGCAGGACATAATCTTGATTGATGATGGATGAGGGAAGGCCCAGCCCACTGTGGGTGGTGCCTTGCATGAGCAGGTGGTCCTGGGGTCTATAGGAAAGCAGGCTGAGCAAGCCATGGAGAGCAAGCCTGTAAGCAGCTCCCTCCCTGTCCTCTGCTTCAGCTCCTGACCTCAGGATCCTTGCCTTGATTTCCTACGCTGGTTTTGGTCTGCCACTAGGATTGTTTAAGATAAACACTTTTCTTTCCAACTTGCTTTTGGTCGGTGTTTCTCAGGGCAATGGAAACCCTCGATAGGAAACTTGCTTTCAGTGTGTTTTTAAGTCATGAGAAACTTTAACTCTGTGCCAACGTTCCTACAAGAGCACTTTGTAATCAGCTTAAACTTTAATACGAAGTTAGAAATGTCACAATGGCACTTCAGGTAAATTGTAATTTTCAAATGCCAATGACTTATAAAAGGAGGGTTTCCTCTCTCTGCTTTAGTCTATTACCAAACTTTGATAGTGATCTGGCACAAAACATTCAAATTAATGTTTTGATTGGTGAGAAGGCACAATGTGTGTGAGGAGTTATAGGTAATGAAGGCAGCCTGAGGAAAGATACCTTGTATTCTTCACCCCTCTGGACCCAAACCTGGATTCCTCTCAAGGCAGCTTTCAGAATCACAGCCAACTGTGCAGTTTAGAAATTACATAAGTAGCTCCCCACTCCCCCAACCCTGCAGGATAACCCTATGGTCTCTTAAGGTGTTAAGAAGGCCTAGGTAGAAATATGTGGTCTTCCAAACAGGCTCAAAGTATTGACTGAAATGCTGGGTCTGCGTCAATTATCAGCAAAATAGAAACGAAACAAAAGCAAGCACTTCCAACAACAAAGAGGCTAGGAACCAAATTTATGTCAAAGCAGATTTGCATCTCAAATCTACTGTGTGTGGGTTGAGGGAGCCTGCCTTCTCCTGTCTCTTTTCCTCTCCTGCCACCTCTTTTTCTGCCATCGCTTGTCACCTTACACGATCCTCCTCTTTTCTCCTTCCCTGCAGATACCATCTCTAACATCCCCTTTCCCATGCTTCTCCTCAAGAGCAACACTAAATAAGGAAACCAAACTAACCCAAATCAACACTTTAGCAAATGGTTAACAACTGTTGATACAAGTCCTACGATATCTAACCCACGTGAAACTCACAAAACCTTACACTAAAGTTATCATCTGAAATGCCTAATGGTTAGCTACTTTCGGCCACCTGCCCTCTATCTATCACTGTTTATGTTTCCTGATGACCTAATTCATTTCGCCCTTCTCTGCAAAAGTTACGGTCGAAGCACGGATGGTAGGAGAATGAGAGCAGAAGAGCAGTAAAAAAAGAAAAA